AACTGGCAACATAAAGAGGCACACAGAATATTTTGGAAAGTTGCCAGATTATAATTTAGGTTGGTGACATGGGTTAGAGAATGGAAAAGGTGTTGTAAAAGTGTATGTGTGTGTCTATTGATGTATGTCTTTTGTGACGCTAATGGTCACAAAAGCTGCTCATCTTTCTTTCAAATAAAATGCTTCCATTGGGCAGCAGCTTGCAGATGGGGCACATTTTGCCTTTATGAACCAGGAAAAGCCTCAGTATGCTGGCTATTAGAAACATAAAAATAGTGAACCTCTCTCTGTCTGTCAGGCACTTTAAGATTAATTCCTGCATAGGAGATTAGTTTGAGTATCATCCTTTCCCTGTTTTTATCTAAATGTCAGAAAGACTTTAGCACTCCTTGTGTACATGGATGAGGAGGAGGTGTGCTCATTATTTCTGGCTTCAGTTTTGCTTTCAAAGCCTGGGTGTGCAGAGAAAAGCAGCAGGTTGTCAGCCTGCAGTGCTACCTTTTCTGTGATCAGAGCCAGCTGCTGTTGCTGAGTGAAAGATCTGAAGTTGGCAGTGCCTGTGGCTGAAAGCTGTCACTTGGTAATAGGCTGCATGTCTGGGAAGAGAGGCTTGGTACTTATAACGTTGCAGATACGGCCCTCTGTGCAGCACCACATGGTTTCTTGATAAGCCTTGAGTTAATAGAATTCTATTTCCAGTGTCTTGACCCATTTCCTTCCTCTTTTCCATGTCTGTATAGAGTTAATTCTGTTTCAGCTATTTTTGGTGTATATAATTCAAACTGAAATTAGTGCTGGTGACTCTGCATGCTCTCTAAAGTTTCTTGAAATGGCCAGTTTGTCCAAATGTTCACATTATTTCTAGTCACCCCTACCATTTCTTCTCTTCAGTAATCCATCAGATGATCAGAGGAAGCATAATCTTTGATCTCCATTTCAGCACTTCATAGTCTCCTACCCCAAGATTCTTGTTTCTTTTCCCCTTGCCATTTGGCCCTAAGCCCTTTTCCATCTGTATTATCATTCTTTTTCTTTTTTTCCAATTGCTAGATTCACTGCAGAAGTTTTTGTCTGTACCTGGTAGTGGATTGGGCAGAATTCTTGTATCTTGTGACTGTCTTGTCATACTCCGTTTGTATATCCCGAAATACTCTTCCCACAGTCATGTTACTGATTCATGAATTGCTCTTACCCTTCTCTTCCAAGTCTGAGGTTATGCATGTGACTTTCCATGTATCATATATGAGGCCACTATCTATTCACAACTACTAGAGTCTGCAGTCTAAATTCTTTCCCCATTCATTTAAAGTAGGAAATCATTTGGAGGCCTAGAACTGGGATCTGTGTGGATATGAAGAAGGATATTTGGCTCCATGTTAATCTAACAGTGAAAGTTGCTATGTAAATACACATTGCATAATTTGTTTCAGAACCAGTATGCATACATTACTGAGACTTGGAGGGGGCAGACATGCACAGACCATACTGAACAGTTGTCCACGATGGAAGCTTAGAGTGATGATGGTGGAAAACCCACAGAAGATCTGAACAAACACATCCTAGAGCCTTTGGAAGTCTGCTTCAGGGCAGTAGAGGCAACAAATAAGTCTTACTTCTCTACTATCTTTGCCTCTGCAGAGTGTCATTCAGCAAAGCTTTTCTGAGTGATCAAGGGTCTGTTAACACCAGGAACCACACTTTCTCCATTGTGGTTCTTTTCCTCTGGATCAAGCTTCAAACAGATGTTCATCAGGCATCACCCATGTCATTTTTAGGAACTTAGCAAAAACAGAATTACTTAAAGCTGCCTTTTATTAGTGCTAATAACTGACCTGAGATGTCCAAATGCTCACTGACCTCAGATGTCCGAATTTGCTTAATTTTATTTAACTGCAGTTTATTCATTTTATGGTATTTATTGTACATTGTAATTTTGTATTGTTTTTAATGTGATCTGAACCTCTTGGTTTCGTTACTTCTCCAGGATAGATTTTAAAAGCATTCTTTTGTAGTTGCTCTGAACCTTCCTGGAGGAGTGAGCTCAGAAGGCCATGCGGGGGAACTTCTGTTCAGTTTTATAGTGCTGAGTCCTGGGGGCTTGTGTGTCTGTTCCCTCAGGCAATATAACATTGTTTGTGAAACTGCTTTGAGTTCTCTAGAGCTTGCAGGTTTGGTGTCACCAGTATACCAGTGATAACCAACTTTATATATTCTTTCTCTCCAAATCCAGGGAAGTAGCTTTAGTTCTAAGCTGTCAGTACTGGACTCGACTGAGGGTGTGGGGGGGGAATGTGCTAAATCTTAATCCTGACTAAATAGAGATTCCCTTAGTTAGTCAAAAAACAGAAAAGGTTAGAGAATGGAGTTACATTTCTAAAAACTCAGGTTTGCAGCTTGAGCATGCTGCATGGATGCCCAGATCTCAGCAGCAGCTAGGAGTGTATTTATGCAGGTAAAACTAGTATGTCAATTCTACCTGTTCCTTGAAATGTGTAATTTGGCCATGATGACAAATGCCTTTGTTATATCCCATTTTGATTTCTGTAGCATGCTCTGTGTGCAGCTGGTATTTGGAAACTTCAGCAGATTCAGAGTGCTTCAGCTAGAACTCTGAATGGAGATGGTTACAGGATGAATAGAAATTCTTTGCTGCAACTGTTTCTCTGGACAGTAGTCCATTTTCCATGTGCAATTTGAAGGATTAGTACCTAAGCCATTTGGGGCCACGCTTTCTGAAAGACTGCATGTCCCCATATAGCCTCCTCAGCTTTTAAGATCCATAGCAGAGGCCTTTCTCTCAGTCCTGCCACCCTCACAGGCACTCCTGAGGAAAAACAAAAGAAGGTCTTTTCAGTGGTTGCTCCTGTGCTGTAGAATGCTAATCCATGGGTCTCCAGGCTGGCATATTTTCCCCCTCTGCTGGCAGGCAGATAAATCTGTTTTCAGGTAGAATTTTAGTAAATACGTACCAGAATGGAGATGGTTTGATGGGCAGTTGTATTTTAAATGTATCTTAAAAATATTTTAAATGGTTCTACATCTGTAACTTTAGTTATATTGTGGGTTTTCCCCCCCTACTTTTTAAAACAATTGCAATTTTTTTAGCTGTTTTAATATTTGCAGTTTTTTAATGGTTGTAGCCATTTCAGGATTCCCTTTATTGGGAGAAAATGGCATATTTAATTAAAGTGGCACAATAAATAATAAAAATAGTAGAATGCAAATTGTTGACTTCTAAAACAGCGCTCCTCAACTTAGTGCCGTCCAAATATGTTGGACCATAACCTTTGTTACTTCCATGAGTATGACTAATGATGTGAATTATAGTCCCAGATATCAGGTGGGCACCAGTGTGGAGATATCTGTTCTAAAGAAACAGATTATGTAGTAGCATGATGGACAACTTCTTAAAAATGGAGCTCATGGGTGTGTTTCCTACCACAGTGATTCCAAAAAACATTTTCATAATAGTGCCATTATGGAGAGTGAGGGCCCTTCTCTTACTGTAGTCAATGGACATAGTGACTTCATATCTATACATATAAAAAACTAATGACTGTTAAAATAATTTTACGCTAGCAAAGATTTTCACTTATACAGAGAACAGCAAAAAGGAAAGAGACTATCACGTTCCACAGGCAATCTGCCAAATTCCTCAGTTGGTATACTATTCTACCACATTATTAGAATGCTGCAATGTTCAGTTTATATGGTTTACCAAGTTTTTCATTACATCCTGTGCCACTGGATTGCCATTTTCTAGCAGTTTTGCTTTGAATTCAAGCATACTAAAAATAGTGAAATTTGTATGTATGGAGCAGTGGAGGGAGGGATGGCCACTATAGGGGACCCAAAGTGGCTCACAACAATTAAATATATATATAATGCTCACAGCTAAAGACACCATAAGAATTATGCTAAAAATCAGTTAAAGATATTAAAATCATCCTTAAGAAATTCTAAACCGTTTTTAAAAACTCTAATTTTAATAGATACAACATTCCTAACCCTCCCCTTACTTTTTGCTTAAAAGCCTGCCAGAAAAGAAAGGTCTTTGCCTGATGGCAGAAGTAGAAGAGGCAAACCAAAATCTGGTTTTGACAGTGTCCATATATCTTCTCATTATGGACAGAAGGTGGTTTGTGTTCCTTTCATGTCCTCACAGCCCCCTCTTAAAGTTCCTATTATTTTCCTCAATAATCTATTTGCTTATGTATATTCATACAGTATTTAATCTGACTATAGTGACAGAAGTCCTTTCCTTCCATGCCATCTCTTATTTTATTACAATTTATCACCATATTACTAACATTTAGCTTAGTCTGAGTTTATTTTATGCTTTTCCAGTACAGGAATTTCTTAATTGTTAATTAAATCATTTATCATAGAAGCTAATTGTGATAAATCAAGAGCTATCCTTTTGTCTATGTTTTTCTAATTTATCCAGATTTGTTTCTGACCAGATTTCTTTCCTTCCCCCTTCCACAAGCCAGGCACCTCTACTGGATCAAACTTCTGTATATTAAAGGATCCCCCATTAGAGCAGCTCCACTGGCAGTCAGTCTGTTTCTGGAAAAAATTCAAAGTATTAGTTTGAACAGCGTGGGTCCAATTTATCTCAAAAACCTTATCTCTCTTTATGACCTTCTGGGCATTAAGAGCCTTTCTCTCAGTCCCACCATCCTCAGAAATGCACTTGGTTGGGACATGTAAGAGGGCCTTCTCTATTGCTGCTCCTAGACTCTGGAATTCCGTCCCATAAGAGACCAGCCTGGCCTCATCTTTGCTGTCCTTCCACAAGCAGGCAAAGACCTTCCTTGTGCAGGCTTTTCCTTAGTGACTGACTGGGAGACAGCAAATAGGATGATTTATATTGTGTTGCTTCTAAATCAGTTTTGGTGTGAGGATGACACCAGCACTGTCAACTTGTTTTGTTGCAAACTGAGGAGGCAAAGACAAAGAGAAGAAGCATTCACCATTTCTTTTCTTTTCCTTTCCAGGGATCTGCTACACAATATTTGGCCTGGGCTTCCGTTTCGATGTGGCATGGTAAGGTGGCACACTTTATCTCTTTGGCTGGGATTAGAGTAACATGGAGAAGAAAAAGGCATGTGGGTGCTTCTAAAAGAGAGCATGAGCAATAACATCTCAGCACAGATCTTCTTTTTGCGCTTATTGTTCACTGAACACCTGGCAGTGCTCTGCTCTAGGGGGCAGGAGGGTACAAGGTGTAGGCAAGGCTTGGCAGGGCTACAGCTCCAGGCAGTCTGGCTCCCTTCCCCCATTTGTTGACATTTATATTGATGGCGGTGTCCCCTTTCACTAATCAATTCTGCTAATTGCATCCTTTTGTCTGAAAGTCAGCTGGCTGCCACTCTCCTTTGCTGCTGCAAACAGCTTTGTCACTGTGTTTGGTTAGGTTTGGCTTACAAGCTTTTTGTTTACTCACATTTTATGGGAGTGAGGCCTTCCGACTCCCATACTGGGGAAAGACTAGAGCTAGGAAAAAATAGTTTCTGAACTGCAGCTCCCAGAATCTTCCACTAGTATGACCACTGGCTGGAAATCCAGGTTTTTTGTTGTTTTTTGTTTTTTGACAGTCAGAAAGACCCTACTGAACTGTTTTAACTAGGGCTGTTCCTTCTCTGTAGGAGCTGTTTTGGGTAGAAGCTGAGTGTATTCATGAATGGTTCTTCTTTGCACAGGTTCCTGACGGAGACCTCACCATTCATGTGGTCCAACCTGGGAATTGGCCTGGCCATCTCACTGTCGGTGGTGGGTGCTGCCTGGTGAGTGCTCCCCTGATGCATGCTAGATGACATTGCTCCTCCACTAGTATTGTTAAGCTCTGCTTTCATATCAACTTGTTATTGCTGGTCTCCAGCTGGTTTGGAGGTCGGTAATGTTACCTTGTTCACATAATCAGCTTCAAGTCAAGATAGTGCTTCAGCTGGAAGCTACCTGAGAATGCCAACACTGGCACTTTGACTTCCAATGGTTGGATATAAATTGTATTTATTTGTTACATTTATATATTGGCTTCACCCACCCCCAGTGAATTCAAGTTGATATACACAATTCTACTTTTTCCTCACTTTATCCACACAATTTCACTGTGGGGTAGGTCAGGCTCAGAGAATCAAAGGTCACCAGTGAGTTACTCAGCCCAGTGGGGATTCTAACCTAGCTATATTGATGTTATATATTTAAATTATTTTATTTTAAGTGTTGTTAGCCACCCTGAGTGGTTGATTGATCAGATGGGCAGGATATAAATACGATCAATCAATCAATATCCCATTTCAATACTCAAATCACTATATTCTATACTTCAGTCTTCCAGCATCTAGAATTGGCTGCACAGTCTAAACAAACTTGATGTTAGTTTGCTGTTTATAAGGACTAAGACTGAGATTGTACTGTGACACCTTGATTGTATGGCCAGGAGGCCCTTCTGAAGGTGCCATCCCTGAAAGAGGTGAGGGGGATGGCATCCCGAAATAGGGCCTTCTCAGCTTTTGTCCCCCTATAGAGATCCGCCTTGCTCCAACACTTTTGGCTTTTCCGCACCACGCAAAGACCCTTCTGTTTAGCCAGCATTTTACTTAAACAGCATCCTTTAGCTGGCCGTGTGAGCAGTAGGATTTATTAATATTAATGTTTTAATTATTGTTCTTACTATAGGGTATTTTTATAATATTGCCTATTTTTTATGTTTTTAGTTTTAATATTGTTGTACACCCCTCAGAGACCGTTGGTAGTGGCACGGCTTAAAAATCTTGTAAATGAAAATAAATAAATAATATGGTAAGTGCCACTCATTGAATCTCTTCTCTGTGTTTTCAGGGGCATTTACATCACTGGATCCAGCATAATTGGTGGTGGTGTCAAAGCGCCGAGGATCAAAACCAAAAATCTGGTCAGGTGAGAAAAGCTCTTTTGTCAACATATTTCTGGTCAGGCAGCTACTTTATCTACCCCTACTTTTTTAAAAAAAAAATCATTATAGCTATAGATAAAGCCTCCTTAATAAGTATCTTATCTTGTCAGAGAAAGTTATCCCCATTTAATTGTGAGAATGTATGAAATATTTTATTTATTTATTTATTTGATTTATACCCTGCCTATCTGGCCTAAATACTGAATTAAAGGTAAAGGTAAAGGTTCCCCTTGACATTTTTTGTACAGTCGTGTTCGACTCTAGGGGGCGGTGCTCATCCCCGCTTCGAAGCCATAGAGCCAGCGTTTGTCCGAAGACAATCTTCCGTGGTCACATGGCCAGTGCGACTTAGACACGGAACGCTGTTACCTTCCCACCGAGGTGATCCCTATTTATCTACTTGCATTTGCATGCTTTCGAACTGCTAGGTTGGCGGGAGCTGGGACAAGCGATGGGAGCTCACTCCATCGCGTGGATTCGATCTTACGACTGCTTGGTCTTCTGACCCTGCAGCACAGGCTTCTGCGGTTTAGCCCGCAGCGCCACCACGTCCCTAAATACTGAATTATCATTTGTAAAATCATTGTGGGTTTGGCATCAAGGCCGACCTTACAGATTGAAGAACAAATCGACTTTGAATTACCACAGTCGCTGGGCTTGTTCCCCTGGTTCTAGTCATGACCATGTCTTCAAACCTATGGGATTTATTCTTGTAGTTAAGCTCTTGAAGAAATATTCAGCATTCTGAATGGCAGGAGAATCCTCGAGAGAATTAGGCCAAAGCATAGCAAAGTTCAGTTCTAATTCTTATGGAATGTGTTGCCAAGGTGTATTTATTTGAATACTTGTTTCACAGCAGAGTTCTTTACTAAAGAGTCTGCTGCCCAAGTAGATTATCAATACAGGGCTGGAAACTATACCTAGTGTATAGTAATATGTAAATGCAGTATCTTGAACTCCAGGCTGAGGTATGAAATTCTCGTGTGTCACAAATCATCAAGATAAAAGAAAATAATGATACAGGAGAGCAAGATGGGAAAACGCATGTATCAGAATCTTGGTTCTTTGTCTGAATTGCTGCACCTGATATGAAACACTAAGAAGAGCAGAGAAATGGAGTCCTTTCACCTGAATAGTCACATCATAGAGTAGCAGTGCCTTTTCTAGTTGATGTGCAGTATGTGCTGCTTCTCAGAATTCTTCTTTTGAGGGTAGTGCAATCAGATCATCATGCAGGCTGGCTTTGCATTTACGTGAATGAAAAAAAAACTTGAAAGTAAGCAAAATATGCTTGTCCAAGAGCAAAAAGATGCACGCAGGCCAGGTATAGTTGCAGCTGGTAATCAGTTCTTATTGTTGTGTGAAAATCAGTATTTAATGTTTGGTGTGGATCTTTAGAATTTAATTACATAACCTTGTCTCTTCAAAACAGACAAAAACAGGGTTTCAAGTGGCAGATCCACATTTAGAGGCTGCCTATTTCTTGCTCAGTTTTCCCCGTCCCCATACTTGGACTTGAGATGTCACCGCTGCTAATCTGTCCTTTTTCATGGCAGTATCATCTTTTGTGAAGCTGTGGCCATCTACGGGATTATCATGGCTATTGTGATCACCAACATGGCTGAGGTAATGGGGTGCTTGATGTGTATGAGACGGGTACAGTTGTGGGCCTGAGTACCTTTGCTCATCATTTGTGCATGTGATTTGAAAGTAGCCTAACTCAGCTGTTGCCAGGTACAGGACAGAGGTCATCATGTTCCAGAGATCAAGATCTATTAGCCAGGTATTATTCTTTGCTGTCATGGGAGACTGCAGCTGAGAAGCTGAGAAGAAACCAGCTGTTTGAGCAAAACTACTAGTTCGAGCTGTTAAACTGCCATCTCCCTCCCTGAGAAGGCAGAATAAGACCTGCAAATAGCTTTTGAAACATGGGATGGCAACTGCTCCAAAGAAGTAGTAGAAGAGCTGTCTTCTTGTGATAATCCTGCTTTGCAAAGCAGACTCTTCTCACAAAAGAAAATGTGACTGCAGGGCCGTTGGTTGCATTATTGCCATCTTAAGAGCTCTGGGCCACTTTGGTTTATCTCTAGCCTTTTAGTAAAGAACTGGTAAAAGCTGAGGAACCTTAGTGAGCGGTAGTCTTTGCTCTTAACATGCTTTTCTTCCTTACAGCAATTTACTGGCAGAACCCCTGAGGAAATTGGTCACCGGAACTATTTTGCAGGTATCCTTTCTGTTTGTATGGATTTGGGCTAAGCAGGCAGATCCCATGTTGTCCTTGTGAGGTCACAAGATTATTTCTAGTTACAAGAAAAACATGCCACACATTCCTAAGAACGTAAGAAGAGCCCTGCTGGATCAGGCCAAGGACCCATTTAGTCGAGCTTCCTGTATCTCACAGTGGCCCCACCAGATGCCTCTGGGAGCACATGAGACTAGATACCTGTCTCCTGATACCACTGAGGTACCTTCCTTTTAAGCATGGAGATTATACATCACCATCATGGCTTGTAAACCTATGATGGACTTTTCTTCCAGGAATCTGTCCAATCCCCTTTTAAAGGCATCTAAGCCAGATGCCATCACCGCATCCTGTGGTAAGGAGTTCCACAGACTAACAACACGCTGGATAAAGAAATGTTTTCTTTGGCCTGTTCTCACTCTCCCAAGACTCAATTTGAGTGGATGTCCCCTGATTCTGGTATTGTGTGAGAAAAGAGCTTCCTTCCAACTACTTTATCCATCCCCTGATCCTCTTTCCTCTTACAGGTTATTCCATGTTTGGTGCAGGCTTAACTGTAGGCCTTTCCAACCTCTTCTGTGGTGTATGTGTGGGAATTGTGGGGAGTGGTGCAGCGTTGGCAGATGCCCAGAATGCCAGCCTGTTTGTCAAGATCCTCATCGTGGAAATCTTTGGCAGTGCCATTGGACTCTTTGGAGTGATCGTGGCGATCTTGCAGGTAAGCCCCTTTGGTTACCTTATCATAAGTGGTGGTGTTCCCAGAGAATCCTGCGTGTTCCGGCTTCCCTCATTCCTAGTCATTTGAAAAGAACCAAAACGAAGACCTATTTTTCACTAGAATTTGTTAAATTTGTCTGATTTACAATCCTTTCCCCTATGGGGGATGGAAGGGACGTTAGAAACAGCAGTCATCTCTAGCCTGGGATTGACATTCCAGATACACATTGTGCTACATTTGTAGTTTGCAGAAAGGGCTTACAACTGATTTCACAGAGTACCTACGAGATGTCTTTGTCAGGATTTTCTCAGTATTTGAAGGCCTGGAAAAGAGTGGTTTAAGGAACCCTCTGTTAGCCCTGCTTCAGGGTTAAAAAATGGGACACAGAATTGACTTCTTACTGAAAGTTCCTGAGCCTTGATTTGCCTCCTTCCCTGGAAGTTGGCCTGTCAGTTCCTCTTCTGCTACTAGTGCCCCTGTGCTCCTGTCCTGGACTGACTTGTTTCCTCATGTAACCTTACAATATTTTAAACAAATGAAGTAGCATTAAAGAGCTCATGAGATAAAATGTAATGGAAATGTGTGCAGATACTGGTAGTCATCACAAAAGAGCCCATAAGTGCTGTGTGATGATAGGGGAGATAACTCAGGGGTAGGATGCTCTTCCTTTCTCCCATTCCTATGAACACTGAGCCATGGAGAACTTGCACCCAGTGCTATTGTTGGGGTAGTGAGGTTGGGGGGAAATGCAGGAAGATGTAAATAACAGAGCCCACACATTTTCTGACCTTTTGCCCCTTTTGTGTTTTGCAGACATCTAAAGTGAAAATGGGTGACTAAGCTCTTTGTGACCGATCTGTTGGTCAGCTACAGATTCTGTACATATTTATTTAATGTCTTCTGTTGGCTGGGGGCGGAGCTTGGTGTATAAAGTTATTCCTGTGATCTTCGCCTCCTGAGCCATGGAAGAACCTGACCAATTGATGTGTATGTGTGAGAATCTATCCTTCTCTTCCCCCATCTTTTTCCTGCTCTCCGTCCTCTGAAGAAAGGGGCTGGGTGCCTGGGTGGAAGGAGCCTAGAGTGTTCCAGCCCTTGCGCTCCCTGTGGCAGTCACTGCCAGCTGCAACTCAATGTCCTGTGAAAGAAACTCGTTCATGTCTCAAGTAGCTGCCCTTCTTTGTGTGCCCCTTGCTACTGTGCTCCTCTTGCTACCCCAGCTCCTGGTGGCTCTGACAGCCCATTTTGTCCTGAATTACGGTGGCACTGGCTGAAATCTTGGCACTGAAGGCTCTGGGAGGTGCCCTCCTAGACACAAGTGTGCCATGCCAAACAGCACATAGGAGTTCAAAGGTGTACTTTTTGGAATTCTCTGAAGCATCACAAATTATTGGTTATTAAAACTGATGATAATGAAAGTATCTTATTTTGTGATCATTCGTCTTTTCCTTCTGTGTTTGCCTTTCATTGAACTGCTCAGGGCATGCACAGTACTACATGGCATAAACTATAAAACAAACAATACTCCTATAAATGGGCCAAAATCCTGTTGCAGCAGTCTGTTGATCAGTCTGTTGATATCATTCCTGCTGTGCAAGTGGAGCTGCACAATAGGATATTGACAAAATGTAAATGTCTTGGTGGAAACAAAAGAAAAGGGGAGATATGAACTTAAATCCCTGAATGTCTCATACGATTTGTTAAATACCTTGTACTGTATTACTAAGTCTTAAGTTAAGAGTTACAAAAAAGGTCATTCTTACCAGCTATTAAAAATCCATCATTTGATACTTAGGGCCAGTTCACAAAGGTTTGCACATTATGGAGCTGTAGCTAATAATACTTGCTGGAAAGGTGTCTCTGTATGGTATGTATCTTTGTTACTTTGTTTAAAATATTTGTTGAGTGACAGACTACAAGAGGAGGAACAGTAAGTGAAAATTAGTACTGTATCTAATAACACAACACAAGGTTACTGCCTGCCTCAGCCAGGGTGGATAAAAATCAGTTTTTTTAAAAAAACAAACCTCAATTTAAATCATGATTGAAATGGAAAAAAAATCATTTTTAAAATTTAAATTATAAAAAAATTCCATTTTAAAAAATGTAAATCAAATTCACCCTAGTCTCAGCTTTGATAGAAATAGTGTTCTACAGGCAAAAATACAGTAGATAAAAGCATACTACTCACTGGATATAGTGAGTCACTATATTTCATCCTCACCTACCACAAAAACTTGTTATCAGAATAAAATGGATGGAAAGCAATGCATGCTCCTTGGAGGAGATGTGAATGTTAATCAAGAAAGATACAGATAAGCCCAAACTAGAGTCCTCATAGTCTGTTCTTAGCTATCTGTCTAAAAGCTTCATAAGGAAAAATGGAAAAGAGCAGCCCCACTCTCTTCTCACACCCGCCTGCTTCTAAATATGCCATTGTTTATGACAGGGCTTCACAAGTACAATTGGCACAGCACCTTTGGAAAGACACAAAGTGCTTATAGTCCCACAGGAGCAGACAAAATATGCTGCAGGTTTTTAATGCCACCTTTTGGCCCACAGCCCTGCCTTGCGAAATTTCCTGGAACACTCTTGAAACTTTATCAAGGCTTTTCCCAAAATTTCTGAGTGCTTAAGAGTAAAAACATTTGAATTTACACTCGTGATCCATTCCACTGTTTGTGTATTCTTTAGGCAAAGATGAGGCTTTAAGGGACACCCTTGGCATTTTAAAAAGTGTAACTGTTCTCTAAGAACACTGCAGTTTGGGAGAGACAAGATGCTAGCAAATAATGGCTCCCTGTTTCCACTTTTCTTGGAATATGAAGCTGCTACCTTTAACTGAATATCGGTGTGAACAGAAAACACATCAAATGATAACAGCAGGATGTGTTTTTGCTGATGCAACAGTGGAATCCAGTGGACTCAGGAAATGGGAGGCCCTTCTTCAAACCCTGTGCATCCTGAAAAACATCCCTGGAAAGATGAGAAGCCCTCTGGAAACAGGCTTTACCTGCAGGGGTAGAGGAGAGGAAGAAACTTCCATCAACAGAATATTTAATATAGTACAGTACATAATCTTTACACTTGTGAGACCTGGATATTTTTCTCTTACTTTAACTGTGGCCAATTAATATTACATTATTAAATATGTGTAACAGAGCAATAATTCTGTCTATATTATAACTGGATATCAATATTTCTGATGGATATAAGGCAGTTGGGAAACTTCAGTAAATTGTCATATTGAGAATAGTCTATTGCAGATGTTTTGCAAGTTACAGTTGCTGGATGGGAAGGTGAGAGACCATGTAGGTTAAGAATATAGCCTGCTCCAGATTATAGTTTGAATAGATTAGTGGCAAACAAAATGCTGGCTGAGCAGGAAAAAATTCTACTTTTTATCTTGATGCTGTTTGTATTAATAGAAATCTTGTCTGCCTATTCAAAGGGAATACACTAGCAGCATAGAATAGACTTTTCTAAACTGTAGCTACTGGGCACAATAGATTTATCTTCCCAGCCTATTTATCTTGACTCCTTGGATTGGTTGTGATATGTTTCTTTTTCCACTGGTTTAGTTAAGTCTGAGTTGTGAAACCTCAGTGGGTTGGAACATAACCAAAGGCCTCTTGGGGGAAAGGCCAACTGAAATTATCTAGAATATGTGACTGATGAAATTAAATTCCCTGTCATCTGTGTGGCCATGGATAGGCTGCATGGTGCTACCAGGAGGAGGGACTGGTAATAAATATTTTAGGTACTGTATAAATCTTTTACACAGAAAATTCTGGGAGAGTCATATAATTAGGAATCAATTTGTTGGAACATAATTAAGGATTGCTTTAAGGCAGATTCAAAAAATATATATACCATTCTGGATGTTCAACTCTGGTACCTATCAGCTCTAGATAGCCTGACCAATGTCTAGGAGTACAACCTAAGCATCTAAAGAACCAAACATTTGCCACCCCTTTCTTTGAAGGAATCACCTGAAACACAATTCTTTGCATCAGTGTTCTTTTGACAGTAATTGCAGGTCAGGTCTATTGCTTTATTTAGATAAAGACATAGTATTTCCCCTCTAGCTCTCAGCTTTCAATGCTCCAGTTCTGTGTTTTGAAACAGACTTCTTTGGATAGTGTATGGGTGTTACAAGGTGTAGTTTCATCTGTACAGAGGACCTATATACTTCTTTTCATATATGGGATCTTACTGAATGCTTCCAAATGGAACATTCATTAAAATTAGGCCTGATTTTATTCTGATTGAACATATACTAAGACCCTTCAGCCCCTGCCACCCTCAAGATCAGCACTCTTCTGAAATAGGGCAGGATTCACTAGTTGGCAGGCTCGGGCCTCTTGTCAGGCTAAATGGTTGGGTTACTGGCCCAGACACACACACACACCCATAGGGACCTGAAGCTGGTGGACCCACTGCTTTCCAGAAACCTTAAGATGTGAATTAGATTGCTGTGATGCAGCACTCTGAAGTGATCATTTTTGGCCTGGCAGCTCCTCTGTACTCTGGCTGCTGTTATTCTGTTTATCTTGCACTTTCTGCCTTGTGGCTGACCATCATCAAAGCAGTTTCAAACAAAACAGACCTGGAACAATAAACAATAGAAATGGGCAGGATGCTCAGAAGCATGGGCATAAAAACCACAAGTGGAGGATAAAATTCACTTCTGACAACCTTTAAAGGGTTAAGAAAATGAAAAGCTATGTGTTGGTGCCAATAATGACATTGTAACAAACTTTAAATGTGCATCCTTGGGTAGAAGAACTGAACAGAAACAGCCTTTTCACTCATGTCCATCTGGCTGAATTCAGGTCATATTTATGTGGTTTCCTATACCAAGATTGTGCCACCTGTCCCATGGCAGGAACTGTTCTTCCCAGGAATGCTGTCATCTCTTTTCTGAAGATGTTTCTTTTCTTAAAATAATAAGGCTCCATTTTCCAGCATTGTAGTTGGGATTCTGTGTATTGTATAGAGCAGCTCTGAGCCTGTATAGACATGGGCTGAGCCTACGAAAGAAGAGGAGGGCGGCAATTTCATCCTCAAGGGGTTTAAGCACAATTACAGTGCTTTTGCTGGCTTACTGTTTTTTCCCTGAGTGATTCTGCCACATCCCTGTAGATCTGCTCTAAGATGCAGCAAATCCATTCACTTTGGATAACTGTACCCAGCATAAGGAGCCAAGCTGGCTTATGAGCCTAATGAGCTGGTAGTAAGCGGATGCTGGGAATGAATTGGTTTTTCCAGGATGGTTGCATCCCTGCTTACTGAACAAGCAAGTTGCTGGCTGTGCTAGGAAGGTAAGGTTATTGGACTAAGGCAGTTGGCTGGCGGGCAGACAAAACTAGAAGGAAAAGCTGGGGAACCTTGGCAGCACAGGGAGAAAGCAAATAACAAGCACCTGAGCCCTGCAATATTGCACTGGGACTGAAAGAGCTCAGATGTGCTTGGGCAGGATTGTTGGCATGATCCGCAGAGTGCCAGAGCCACTGTGCTCATCAGGTTACATGACCATTGGGAGAAAAAGCTGCAGTACAAATGGGAGCAGTCAGGAGAGGCAAGGCTGGGCTGCTCAGAAGAAAAACACAGAATTCCTTTGTTCAGAACTGCAGTCTGTGAAACCATTTAACTGGAAATAATGTAAATGCTACTGAAGACTGGGATTATAATTACTTGATATTGGAGTGGGGAGAACTTGAGTGGAGTTCACAAAAGCATTATAATCCCATTCATAAGCTTTTAATAGGGTACCTCAGTGGCAGAGTACACGCTTTTCAGCAGAAAGTCCTAGGTTCAGTTCTTAATATTTCTATCTAAAATGCTCAGGTAGCACAGCTGGAGAGCATCTGGATCTATCACTGGTAGGCAAAACTGGATTAGACGATGCAGTAATCCAGTAATGTATAAAAAACGTTCATATGTTTGTATGTTCTGTGTTGCATTAGGATTGCCCCTTAGTGATGTGCATTTAGGGGAGACTCCCAAGGCTTTCATACCAACATAATGGATTGTCATGCCCCCATAAACTGAAAATACACTCTATTTCTTTCTTTGGCTCAGCATGATCAGGGGCTTGAATATCTTTCCTGCAGCCTTCCCTTACTTTGTACAAGTCAAGATATAACCAGACTTATTAACCAAGATGCACATGGCTCTCTTCCCATTCTGTCCTTGCAGGCAAGCCAGACTGAAATTATATGACTGGCTCAAAGTCACTCAGTGAGTTTCATGTGTGAGTGGGGATTTGAATGGAAGTCTTCTGAGTCCTCATCTAACATTAAGCACTATAGTAGCATCTGACATGATAGAACTTTAGCATGCAGATTTCATGGGTCTGTCGTGATGATAAAAATGACCATCCCTCTCTGCCAGAACTCTGCAGTGCAGTTTCTTAACTCTCCAGAGGAAACTACTTTCCACGATGGCTTCATTTTTTGCACATATGACTGGAAATCTTTCGACCCATACAGTATCTCCAGCTCATCCTATAAACATACAGAGTGGCTGGAAAGAGAAACTTTGAGGAACATGTCATAAATCAAACTGAGTGTAAGACGAAGGTATCAGTGCTGGGTAAGAGGATACTGCATTCTAGTGGATGTGGCACAAAATGATAACCACCTAAATCCAGCGCCTCTCAAAAGAACCATGGTACTGGGGATGATGAATTAAAGTAGAATGTTGTATGCTTTTTATCAGGAATGTAATCGGGCGTATGTTTTTCATTCACAATGCCTATGAATCCTAACCAACTTAGCCAGATCATGGGAGTTGCAGTCTGTGACCACTATCACCCCTGCTCACAGTGGGGGGTGGCCAGGAGGGTCTCCTCTACCGTGGGCTCCATGAAGCCAAGACACTTGCTGCTACTCTTTATTAAGCTTGGGAGAGCAGGATACAAAAGATGGTTTGCTCCCTCTCTTACTAAGTCTGCAGGAGGACTTAGTTAACTCCACTAGCGCCCCCCATTGCTTTCAGTCCCCACCTGGGCCTGAGTTCCCATCGCTGGGTTGGTACAATCTATGGCTGGGGTCTAGTGTTTTCCACACTGACTCTAGCGAGCTGACACCCTTTAAGAGGGGCTGGTAATGCTGGCTTGTTGCATGTCCCCCCAATTCATCCTGCCTCTGGCAGTTCTGCCAAAAGGGCTCCTTCTACTTTTTCCTCCACCAGTACCTCCTCTGGGTCAGAGTGAAGCCAGGGTGTCCAGCAGGTCATCTTGGTCTCCAGGGAGTTGTCAGAGCTGGTGGGCAGAAAAGCAGCATCCACCTTCCCTCTTTAGCAAGCTGGAACTGGATCCATTTCCCAGTCCAGGGGTTCTGGACCTTCAGCGGCACAGGAGATGGGCAGCAGTTCTTCCACAGCCTCTGCCCATTTCTTCCCCTCAAAATCTATAGAGGACGACAAGTCCAGGTCTCTCTTCCCTTCTACCACCTCCTCTTTCTCCTTTTAAGCCTGGGCCCCACCCACAGGTGTGGCTTATTGGTCTTCTGCCTCCTCCTTCCCACCTGGGGCTTCGCTCTTGCTCTCTGTACCCTCACGGGGCCCTATCACCAGGGTGTCTCTGGGGTCTGCAAGGCAGGGGAAAACAAGTCGATGGCAAAACGCCTGCTGGGGACAGCTGGAGCATTCCCCTTAGAGGCCCATCCATGTTTTATATGTTTTTAATTTCTTGTACAGTATTATCTTTGGCTATTTACAAATATGAGAAATGTAAGTGCAAACTAGAGTGGTGCTGGGCATATATCTATGGGTCTGAATGACATAAAGCTTTTGGATGTTCTTTTCCCTTTCCCCTGAGGTGCTCCATCCCCTATGCAACTATCCAAGCAAAACCCCCAAGATTGTTTGAGATGGAAAAGACTTTAGGGGATACAGGCGGCAAGTATTTCTCATGGGTGCCATTCCTGATGGGCTAGAACTGCAATCTACACGTCTCCCTTGTGTGGGTGGCACTGACATCACCTCCCCCTGCCTCTGGTGATAAGGAAGCTCTGTGCATCTCTCATTTCCTCTCCAGATACTCTTATCTAGGCTGACACCGTGGCAGATGCATTATTCGGCATTTATGGCTAGAATAACTCTGCCCAGAGGAGGATATGGGGGAGGCTGACTGGGAGGCCCTGCGGAGATGAAAGGCTACAGCAGTGCTGTCATGGGCCCTCCTGCTGTCATCCCCACCTACTGCCACCTGTCCATTTAAAGGTCAAGTGCAGGGGAGAAGAGAGGAGAGGCACTGGAGCCCTGAATGGCTTCTTTGCTCTTCCATTCTCCATTAGGTGCCGCGAAATTCCCTTCCCTATTCTACAGAGCTGCAGTTTGGAAGAAAGCCTGGACCTCCCTCTTCACTCCATTTCAGCAGATGGAAAGCTCCCTACTGAGGTTGGTTTGGAACACTTGGGACGTCATTGACTCCAGATACTAACCTAGAAGTTCCTCTGTTTTTCCCCCCAGTTTGGCAGCCAGATTCCATAAATTCAGTATTATTTTCATGATTCAGGCAGTGGTTGATTGGCGAAGCGCTCCTCTATTTCTTCTTTTTTTTTCGGTAAAGCAGTACTTGCACCGATCTGAACGTGCTGTTTCTTAATTATAGAGGTGTGAAAGAAGGGGTGGAGTTATTTAGAAGGCATGGAATTATTTAGGTGGAAGGGGGTACGCACTCTGGCCGAGATCAAAAAAATCACACTCCGCTACTTTTTGACCTACTCCTTGGCGAGTCTTTGCTACAGCCGAAGACTGAAAATACTTTAGGCTGAATTTGCATCATGGAGTACGGCCACAATTAAGTCGGAAGATCACATCGCCATGCTTCCCCGGGGTATGTGGGTAGCAACGACGCGAGAGGGTGGTTCCCAGCGATTCTGGCTTAATGGATCAAGACTACTTAGTGGATCAAGCGAGCCTGTAGCCTGCTCTTCCACCAATCCCGAAGACGCTCGCGCCGATCGCCATTCCTCTCCCATGTGATTCCTTGGAGGGGCGCCCCAGTCCTGTTGCGCTTAATGGAGCCGGGGAGGGCAGCGGCGAAGGGAGCAGCCGGGATGCGAGTGGCTGGAAGGGGTTGGCAGAGGCGGCGCTGAGTGTGCGAGAGGCGGAGCTGCTGGCGCGCCCAAGCAGGCCTGATCCGCTCTCCCGTCT